CAATTCCACTGAAAGGTAGTACCAACCAGTGAATCAATAATCAATCTAATATCTTCCTGTGTGAAATTCCTGTCTTTACATGCCTTCTTTAGGTACGCTAATGTATCTCCCAGTGTAACAGTGGGCTTGGGACACAATGTTTTGTAATATGGTCAATGTTTTCTACTTCTAAACATTTAATTATCAATGTGTCCCCTACTGTGAGAAATGGATATTACTTGGTCTGTGTCACCCACCTTGTGTCTGGTTCTATCTGCCAGTCTGGGGCTAGGGCCTTTTATCATATCCATATGAAAAGTGTCATTATCTCCTGTTCTCGGGAATGGACTTGAATTTCCCATTGCTTCAGTTCACCCTGCTAGATTGTCTATCCACGGATTTATTAGGTAATAATCAGTCCCACAAATCCGGGCTATGAAGTCTTTACATGTCTCCCCTAGTTTGGGACAAGGTGTATTTTTAACTTGTCCCATTCTGTCTATTCAGAAAAAATATATAGATTCAAAAGAAAAGGAAAAAAGAAAGTAAAAGTAATTCACAGTGCTCGACTGCCACCTGGGGTTTTAATTCAGATGAGTCTTCCCTAAACATGAATCTAGTCACACCTGCACCTTCTCGGGTCGAGTGATCTGTGACCAATTATCACTCTTATCACAAAGAATATAGAAAGAGAGAATACACAACTTTTCCTACTCTGTACCCTGAAAAGGACACTATATAATATCCTTTGTCTCTAACCTGTCTTTTAACTTCTTCCACTAAACTTCTTCCACGTCCCTCTTGAAATTCTACTGGACAATGTAAATTTACCCTATCTGTATTTTAGGAGTCCCTTGATCAAAAAAAAAAAAAAACCTTTTTCCTAACTTATGTTTATATCCCTTTTCTACCTTACTCACAAGGTAACCTCCAGAAATACGATGACTAAAAAATAGTCCGCATACACATTCAGGACAAGTCATTTGCAAAACTTTTAATCCGTAACTACCGGTCCATACATTTACCACGTGGACATCTGTGTCACACAAATTATCTTATACTTTACGCGACAGAAAGATGAGCAATAGAATTTTGTGGCAGCCCAAACCCATCAGTGTCAATATTTTCTTTCTTATTTCCTGGTCATTCATTGTCCTTATATACTTTTGGAAAGTATTATATCTGCCGGCAATATCAATATTTCCTGGACATCCAATGTCCTTTAAGTACTTTCCAAAAGTACATGCATATATGTATTTTCTGGACATCCAATGTCCTTCAAAGTAGTTTCCAAAAGTACATATAGACTTATTCCGGCCGGCAATCTTTTACACTATACCCTTTCATTAAAACCTACTTCCAAAGTATGTGGGCATCGGAACTCAGCCAGAGCCTAGTCACGGTAAATATCAGAAAATATAAATCAAATACTTACCAGATAGGATGACTCTCCGATCCCGGGACGAGCCCCCAAACTGAAAGGGATTTGTGCTTCTAATTTAATAAGGTTCCGCCCCCTGTTGGATCCAAGAGACCGTGTTCTGGAAGGAAGAATTTGCATGCACACACAAAGGTTTCCAGAAGACAATCTGAATCTTTATTCGTAGATTCTTCTTATATTGTAACAAAACCATACAATAGGATTTCGCTGGATACCTGTCAAGGCTGTGAACGTGAGATTTCTCAGACCAAAAGTTATTTTCCCGTGGGACAGAAGTATTTGACTTTTAACTATATCCTAGCAGAAACAGGTGCTGTTAGTACAAAGAAATAATTGGTTAGTTTTCATGCCTTGAGCAGAACTAGATTTAAAAGAATACATGAGTGTAGGCCTATAGCACATAACTGACACGCAACTATACATTTAATTATCTAAACAATATAAGATGAGAAAATGGAGGGCAATGAACATTTCCCTTCACACGGGGTTTGTCGTGGTACCTTCTGTTTCTTGTTGCTGCTTTGAGACATGAACTTGGAGCTTTTGGTCCTTATAGAAACCTCCCTTCGGGAGTATGCTTCATATTCCCCTGCTTACTTGTACTGTTTGCCTTCACTTCTGCACCTCAGGTATCCGAACTGGCGGCCTTATCCTGTGAGTCTCCCTCTCTGGTCTTACACAAGGATAAGGTGGTTTGCCGTCTGTTCCCTTTTTATTCCTGCGATGGTGTTGAAATTTCACCTGAATGAGGACATTGTCTTTGTGACAGGAGTCACTTTGGGTGGGGGGGCCCCATGGATCCCAGCTCACTTTGGAAAGGTGGGGAAACCCCTGTCTCTGCTCCCCATATCCCTCTTATGTGTAAATTGCCCTGTGCCTGTTAGGGGTACAGGGTGATCTGTCCTAATATTGTGTGGACTTTGTCCCAGACTGTGTAGACATGTTTAGGAGATGGGTGGGGTGTTTGGTGTTATGTGATTGCATTCCATTGTTCTATTGTTTATCTTGCTTGGGAGCAAACTATTATGGGATGTATGTTTGTGTATTGGCTTAGTGGGGGGCCCTCCCTCCTGATGGGACTGTCTGTTGGTGTGAAGTTTGTGTGTGTCGTTACTAAATGTAGATTGCCCCACCCTGTGTCATTATGCAGGAAGGGGAGATTGTCCCCTGAGTGTATATATCTTGTATCTGTGTTCAAATAAACTAGTCTACCTCCTGGTTTACTTCAAGACTGGTGTCGTCCTAGTCTTGTATGGTCAGCTGTGGTGCCTGTTGGTGTTTGGACAGGGAAGCGGTATGCTAACGGAAGTACCCATGCGTAGTTTTGGGTCGGTTCCGTTAGTCTTTTCTTGTATGCATCCATGGTTGTCTCTTCCTAAGGAGGTTGCATTGCACTCATTGGATCTGATCTTGGCAGTTCGTGTGTGCCTGTCTACCACCTCCTTGGTAGGTGGTGGATATATATATATATATATATATATATATATATATATATATATATATATATATATATATATATATATATATATATATATATATATATATATATATATATTATTTTATTTATTTTTTTTAGTGTATATAGACTTGCAAACTTGAGACAAAGTAAAAACTTACAAGTTGATATGTCTGCATCTTTGGGTGCTTATTTTGGCGGAAAGTTTTTTGCTGCTGTGTTTTAAGATTCCTTGTTTGCCTGTCCCTTTAAAACCCTGCCATGGGATGTCCCTATGGTCAAGAATTGGACATGTCCGTAAATGAGCATAAGAGAAAAGGGGAGTTCTGTAACATGACATAATTTCTTTCCGAGTTCATTGACTCGGAAAGCACCCACCCTTACTTTTTGAGTTTATACTTTTGACACTGCATTTGACTAAATAGTTTGCCTATAGCAGAGAAGTGGTTTTATAGACAGTGCTGTTTTCTTTCAGCCTAGTGTCCTTTGCTTGTATTTGGCACTGGAACTCCTGTTAAGGATCAGAAGAGCTGTAGCCGTCAACTCAGGGATTTTACCTCCAAATTGCCTGTATTATGAGAAACTCACATCAGTGCAACAATTTAGTGTCTAGGTTTCATACAATCTGGACTCCATGTATTATCTCATAGAACCCATCTACTTTTCTGATAGATTTAACCGCAACCTTTCTCCACCCTCTCTCTTGTTCCTGAGGTAATGATTAATCCCCTTTTTCCAAAGTTACTTGTATCGAGTGCAGGTACTTCTGTTTATTCTTTGTATTCCTATTCTTAGAGAACATTTCCCCTTCCATTTTGGTTTCTTTCACCGATGATGGTTGAAGACTACTTGGTCCTCATACTTTGTTGTCCAAACTTTCTGCATGCATTGTTGCTTTACCATATGCCTGTGTGTTGTCATGGAACAAAATTTGGTATGCTGTTTGAAACAAAAATGTATGTTGGCATGCCCTGTATTTGTAGTTTTAATAAAACTGAGTTGAAAAGCATAGTTTAATCTTTTCTGCTGTGGGCCTGAAAATTGCATTGGAACGCTTGCTAGGTCAAGTCTTGGTGTTTTTCACCTTCTGTTATAATTTCATGGTCACTGAAGTCACCATAAGCTTATATCAGAACTGTACTTCTACCTCCTGCCGATGAAAATGGCTGTGATCAGTGGCTGACAAGCTCCTGAGTGTATCAATTCATTCAAATGTGTGAGCACCAGCACTGTTAATGCCCCTCCTTGGCCACCGTTACTTGGGAGGGAAAAAAATACACAGGCTTTTTGCATGTGATTTTTATGTGCTTTAGGCAGCCCATTCAAATGAATGGGCTACCCTAACGCAGCACACATAATGCACATAAAATATTACCTTATCAATTTGAGAGGTTTTTAATATCGGCAGTCTTCCCAATCATATCAGTTTTAATAGTCACATTATCGTTAATCATGTTTGGGAGTGTGAGAGCATACGTTAAAGCACAGAGGAACCGTATCTTGTGGAGGCATGTATGTGACAACTCGGTATAGCTGCCACTACATGTGTGTATGGCTAGGGGGAACACATGCAGCATTCAGGTACCGAAGCCGAGAATTCAGTGGGCAGTTTAAATGGTTAGAAAAATTGAGACAAGGACTACATTTAAAATACAAGCTAATACCAATGTGTTTTGTAATTTCAGCTTGTTTACCTTTCAAACGCCTAAACCCTGCCCCTATGGAGAAGGGGACAATCTTGAAAGAAATGATGTCAAATGTGATTCAGAAAGGTAATGCAGAGTACACCCACTTGATGATGTGGAAAATGGTTGTAATATGGATACTGGAGAGGTGCAGCCCATTCCTAAAATGGTAAATGGGCGGGGACCACTTGATGATTACATCAGAAAGATTTCGAAGACTTGCAATGTGATTCCTATCACTATTGACTTGACAGAAGACTCAAATGGTGAACTTGTTGAGAAATTCCCATCAAAAGGAAAAGTGCAGTGCAGCTTGGTTAATAGTCCCCCAAGTTGTGACCTGGTAAGATTTCCATCTTGCACACTGACTGTAAAAGATCTTGAAGATGATTGTTTGAAGCAGTCGACCAGTGCTAATTCGTTTACTGCAGAAGGAATCCTCAAGACGAGTAAAGAATCTTCTAGTTCTCCAGAGTTACAAACTACTATTCCGGCTGACAGTGTTTCATTTTTAAGTTGTCCAGTTAAATTGAATGCAGAAGATGAAGATACTCTTGTGTCCTCAAACAGTTCTCCATTCAGTTCTCCTGATGCCCTAGCAAACTACTGTGTTAAGTGCCATCAAATCTGCATCTCCAACAGGCAGGGGTAAAGTAAGTGCGGGTTTTTTTTTTTTTTTTTTTTTTCTTCTTGTGGGTTTTTAAAAGTGGGTGTGGTTTTGTATGTATATTTCTTGATCATTCAGGACACAGACTTTTCCAAGTTTTGACCATGGATTAGATTACATTAACAGTTTTAGAACCGCCAATATAGCCATACATAGAGGTTGTTAAACACCTATGGACACAAGCAAAGAACAAGCCTTTCTGTGAACTGGAGAGGTAATATGGGCTTTACTACAACCTCCTTTTGCCAGAATCCTCCCAGCAGTTCTTAGTTTTTTGCTAGGTGATGAGAGCATGTTTCTGTGCTATACTTCTGAAAATACTGAACAATTGATTTTTTTTCTTTTTCAATATGGAGAAACCCTTCTCCAACTTGGCTGCATCTATGCCTCTTGGACAATAAGATTGCAGCTTCTGGATAGGTTGTCTTTCAGCCACCCGGGGAATCTCCTATATGCCTTAAACCAAAAAGTGGAAATTCTGTGGTGGATCAGATTACTTCTTGACCCAATAAGTCCCAATAAGACTTGCTGGTAAAAAAGGTTTGTGGTACTCCTTTAACTGCTTCCTGTCTGTCGATAGTCTATAGGAAGCTGTGCTGATGCAGGCTAATGTACCTGTACATCAGCCCCCCCCCCCCCCCCCCCCCCCCCCCGGTTTGTACCAGATTGCTGCAAACCTCTGCTGTCAAACTTAAAGCTGCTTCACCGGTACGGGTATTTGCAATCCTGCCAGTTTTCTCTTCTCTCCTTGCCATGCTGACAGTATGGACTAGACTACTTTTAATTGGTCAGCGGCATCCATTTGGATGGTATTGACCAATTAGAATCCATGTAGTCCATACTGGCTAAGCAATACGGCAAGTGATATCCCTGGACCTGTGAAGCGTCTTTTCTGTCTGACAGTGGGGGATCATGTGGCAATCTGGTACAGCAGGGGGAGAGGGAAGGGGTCAAGTTTATGATCACCTTACAGATTTTCTGTAAAGGTGACCTTACACTTTAAGTACAGTCAAAATGCCTAGTCTCTAAGCTAGTTCACACAACTCCATTTACAATGTTGTGAAAAAGGTATGGCATGCAGTGTGATGGTTTGGTGTGAATGGGCTCTAAAGCAAATAAAGTGGTTAAATGGAAGCACTTACTGACCATTTATATGTATTGTATGTATTTTGTTAGCATTTGCCTTTTAGGTTCTTGAATGGTTATTGGTAGATCACGAGTATGCGTTCTCTCTTGACAAGATGGCAAGCCTTAAATCATAATTTTCTTTAGTGGACCACAGTTTACAAAACTCTACAGCAGGGCTTGACACCAGTTCGCCATGGCAACTAGAAATTGTGTCCTGGCACCTGGGCTTTTGTCAACCGCCCACATCAGTCTCCCACTTGCCGACCATGCTATTACTGAATGATGGCTACTGTGCGGTTGTCCAGTTCTTAGAGGGCGTCTATTGACTACCTTCCAGAACCCTGTTCCCCATGCGGCCTTGAGGCGCATCGGGTGTGCTCTGTGATCACCGTGTCCTTTGGACATTTTGTCATTCAAGGTGTGACAGCGCTAAAAGCTGCAAATTGGCTTGGATAGTAAGGAGCTGAAAGTGCTTAGAGTAGGCAAGTGGTTAACCGTTTCAATACCGTGCAATTTTACACCTTCCTGCCCAGGCCATTTTTCAGGTTTCAGCGCTCTCACACTTTGAATGACAATTGCGCGGTCATACAACTCTGTACCCAAACTAAAATTTTATCATTTTCTTCACACAACTAGAGCTTTCTTTTGGTGGTATTTAATCACCACTGGGGTTTTTATTTTTTGCTAAATTAACAAAAAAAGACCAAAAATTTTGAAAAAAAAACACATTTTTCTTTGTTATAAAAGTTTACAAATAAATAATTGTTCTTCATAAATTTAGGCCGATATGTATTCTGCTACATGTCTTTGGTGAAAATAACCCAAATTCGGATGTATTATTTAGTTTGTAGGAAAGTTAGAGTTCACAAACTATGGTATAGATCTGAATATTGATCAATCCCGAAGTACTGACGGCCAATCTAATTTCTTGAGGTCCAAGAATGTCAGAATAGTACAGATATCCCCAAATGACCCCTTTTTGCAGAGTAGACAGTCCGACGTACTTCATAAGAGGCATGGCGAGTTTTTTGAAGTTGTATTTTTTTTGTCATAATTTTTCCGAAAATGAAAAAATGAAAATTATTTTCACTATTTTTTTTTTTTTTTTTTACATACTGTCACCAGTGCAGTACAGCGTCATCATATAACTGGCATGGCGGTGAACAGGGACACTGACTGGTGACAGTATGGAAAAAAAATATATATATATTTTTAATTTTTTTTATTTAATTTTTTTATTACATTTTTTTTTATCTTTTTTAAGATTTTTTTTCATATTTTACTATGGCCAAAATAGTACAATGTTACCATAGTAACATTGTACTACTTTGGGGAAGTGATCAGTATTTTTTTTTTTTTTTTTTTTTTTTTTTTTACTTTACACAATTTGCTTATAGCAAAGAATTACTTTGCTATAAGCAAGCATTTACCTGAATGAAATCGATTCATTCAGCTTTTTTTTTTTTTTTTTTTTTTTTTTATGCTTGGCTGTGATTTGGTCACAGCTAATCACATGACATGTGCATGTGATTAGCTGTGACCATTCACAGCTAGGCACTAGTATACAATGGATGGCATCATGAATGAAGCCATCCATGTATACAACTGTCATGTGACCTGCTGATTGGTCACAGCAGGTCACGTACCAGCAACGGGAGCCGGTACTCGGATCTGTCATCGGCCGTGTCCGAGGTGCATGGCCGCCGACAGATCGCACTGCTGCGCCGCTCTGCAGTAGTGCAAACGGCGCATGTGCGGGAGCACGCCAAATGGCGTGCACCCGGAATGGAGGAGCACATCTGAAGCCGCCAAACGGCCATTGGCCGGGCGGCTAATGGTTAAACAAAACTGGCCTATTGGCCTTTTTTTTTTTTTTTTTTTTTTTTTTTTTTTTTTTGCTCCTAGATTTAAAACTCATTCATCAAGCCCTTTACAATATTTTTTATTTATTTTTTTTTTTGAAGAGATTTTAGCTATGCGCTTTTTTTTTTTTTTTTTTTTTTTTTTTTTGATTAATTGATGTGGGTGTTTCAGCCTTGTAAACATGCTGCACAGCAATCTTGTCAAAACGGTTTGTAAAAGTTGACTATACATGTGTGGGTTGAATTTCCTGATCTGTAACCAGTGTTGGCTAATTGCAAGAACTTCTAAATATGATTCTCTTGGATGCCCACTCATGTACAGATATTACACACTAGATTCTCCATTGCTACTACACTAGCTTCTATACTGCATGATACCTCCAAAATAGCCAACACTGATTGTTTCAGCAAATGAAAGGGAGTGTGTAGTAATTAACTGTCCAAATGTTCTGAACTCCAGTTACCTTAATTGCACAGTACAGGGCACCGGCTTTTTATTCCCAGACCTTGGGTTATACAGTGTAACATTGCAAAATTTCAAGGGGTATAAATACTTTTCCAAGGCAACCAATTTTATGTGATAGACCAACACAAAATGGCACATAATTGTGAAGTGGAAGGACAATGATTACATGGTTTTCAAAATTTTTTTTTTACAGTTAAATAGCTGAAAAGTGTGGTGTTCTTTTGTATTCAGCCCCCTGAGTCAATGCTTTTGTAGAACCACTTTTGTCCCAGTCCTTGCTGAATAAGCCGTGGCTTGTGTTAAAGAAGACTGAAGATGGTAACAGCCAGCCAGCATGTGCTTCTCGGAAGGGGGGCTGTGGAACGCAGCGGAAACATGATGTATGCAGGACCAGCATGCAGTGCGACGTTCCGGAGCATGCGTGAGGCCACTAGAGGGCAATATTGAGGTGTGGGCGCTAACCGCGTTACTCGAGCGCCAACTGCGTTACCAGATGGACCATGCATTTGTGAATAGAAACATCATGGTAATGGATTATAAATAAAATCATCATGGATAAACCATATATACATGTAATAAACACAAAAACAAAACAAAAAATATATTTGACCAGGCCTCTTTGTTGCTACTCGGCGCTGCACTAATTCAACTGATAATTGCGCAGTCATGCAATGCTGTACCCGAACAAGATTGAAGTTTTTTTTTTCATACAAATAGAGCTTTCTTTTGGTGGTATTTGATCACCTGTGCGCTTTTTATTTTTCGCGCTATAAACAAAAAAAGACCGAACATTTTGAAGAAACTATTATTTTACTCACATTTAAAAAAAATCTAGTAAACTCAGTTATAAATTTAGGCCAAAATGCTTTCTGCTACATAGTTTTTGGTAAAAAAAAAAAATCTCAATAAGTGTATATTGATCGCTTTGTGTGAAAGTTATAGCGTCTGCAAACTGATATAGATATTGCAATTTACACATTTTTTTTTTTTTTGCTATACTGCACTAGTTTAACTGACCATTGCGCAGTCATGCAATACGGTTTTAACAAAAACAATATTTTTTTTACTTTCCACTATGAAAAAATATATAGTAAACTCAAAGTTGCTCATAAATTTAGGCCAAAATGTATTCTGCTACATGTTAGTGGTAAAAAAAAAAAATCCCAATAAGTGTATATTGATTGCTTTGTGTGAAAGTTATAGCGTCTACAAACTATGGTATAGATACTGCAATTTATGCCATTTTTTTGCTATACAGCGCTGTGCTAGTTTAACGGACAATTGCGCAGTCATGCAATACGGTACATAAATTAAATTTACATCCTTTTTTTTTCCCACAAATTATTTGTGGGAAAAAGGTAAGGTATTTGATCGCCTGTGCAGTTTTATTTTTTGCGCTATAAAAAAAGACTGACAATTTTGAGGAAAAAAAAACAATATTTTGGACTTTTTGCTATAAAACATGTCCAGAAAAAATTTAAAAATCAAATTTAGTCATAAATTTCTGCCAAAATGCATTCTGCGACATGT